CACATTGTATATTTGTTTAAGACTTGTGGTTCGAGAATTGATTAAATTAGTCGTACACGTAATTATTTATAAATTAATAATATGTTTTCGATTATACTTGATAAATATAATCATTTTTCTCAGTGGGGAATCTAATAATGGATTTGTCAAAATTTCTCCAGTTATCTAATTGGTATCAACACATTATTTTTTAAAATGAATAAAATGATACAACTTTTTAGTTCTAAAAATTTTTTGAAAATCGATGCAATTTTCAAGTAAGTCAATTTAACAATAATCATATACAGACTGACACATCATAATATCAAGAAAACTTGAAATGTTAACAATTTATTTTTGCAACAATATTGTTTTATTTTAATGTTTATTTTATCATCTGTAATTAATTAAAATACCAAGTTAAAATTCAACTAAATTTTAATGATAAACATGTTTACTCGATATAAACAATTAATCGAACTACTTTATTAAATTAGACTGAATTCGTCAATTATATCCAAAACGTATTTCAATATAAATAATGAAATACATTTTACTCTATATTTTAATCATAATTAAAATGTGTAATGATTGATTTTATTTTTTAGTGTTAAAAATGATTTTCTTTGTTTCTAAAAATAGAAAAATAATAACGATTTTATGGATAAGGAAAAATAACAGGGAGATAAAATAAATTTCAAAATATTAAAGAGGTCATACACTTTTTTGTTTCAATTTAACATCAAAAAATTATTTTTTTCATATAACCACACCTAATGAAAATATATAAAATTTAAATATCTTAAATAAAAATTGCATTTTCCCTCTAACTGAGGGCAGTGACGAATTAATGAAAAAAGTATAGAAATGAAGTTTGGAGAAAGGTGTATGCTCAAGATTATCTTTAAATTAATTTCATTGTCATAGTATTTTATAACATTTTATAAAGAAATATTTTATTTTTTTTTGTTGAAAGTAAAATAATTCAGAAAAAAACTTTAATAATTCTAAATGACGTGAACATATAAGTTTGTTGTGCGTCTATTTATTTTTGAGAATGAAATATAAAAATTATAATATTGAAATTATTTGTGGTGGTATTAATATTTTTTTTGCATGGTCTATTTATTAATTATGCTGGACTAATAATTGTAGGTGGTGTTTAATTAAAATATGTGACGAAATATTTTATTTTTTTGACTAAATAATTAATAAACTGACTTAATAATTATTGAAAATGGTGGGAATCGAAAACCCAGTGAATAACACTGTAATTTGTTTAAAGAACATTTATTTTGATAAATAAAAAATATATAGTTTAACAATCTAATTATTAAAACATTATTTTTGTGATTTGATCATCACAACTTTTGCCAAAAACGTTACTAATGTTGTCAAATTGTCATTAAAGTTTAATAATATTGTCTACAACAAGTAGTGAAGCATTAAATTAAAGTTTTGTCTTTGTGATTAACATAACACAACAAATAACAACTTTGTAAAATAGTTTACTTTTATACAATACGATTTTCATCAATATTTTATAATTTCTATTAATATTGTTAAAAAAGTGCTTAAGTTATAATTACTATAAATTATTGAAAATATAGTACAAGTCCCATTTATTATGATAAAACTTCGATCTTATTACTTACTGTTTGTTTTTTAGTGCTTTCTTGTGATCACTTTTTGTGCACGAAAGTTTGGTTATTTTTGAACACAATTTTATAAATATAATATAACAAATTCTATTATTTAGTTTGTTGTTATTATTAAATAATAATTAAAAAAAAATAATTTCTGAATGTGCTTTTTAAAACATATTTAGATATCTGTATCATTTATAACATATAATCTTAATCATGCCATCATCAGGCGTTCATTTTCGAATTAATCAATGCGTGCAATCTGGTTTAATTTAACATTTAGTTGTTTATCTTTATTTACACAATTTATGTGTTTTGAACACAAACATCAATCAATACACATGTCAAGTAGTCCCGCAGCTATAATTTTGTTATTATTAGTAATAACCAATATGAAGTGTTTTGAAGAAAAAAAGTATTTTTTTACAATAAAACAATCATTTTATAATAATTTGATCAAAAATTGAGATAGCATTTTGTTGAAAGAGATATTATTTTAATTTATACCAGATCAATTGATTGTGATCGTATTTATATTATTTTATCTTTATTATTTATATCGTCATTCCAATCACCAAATTATTTAATAATTTTATACATAATAAACTAAGATTTATAAAATAGTTATTTACTATTTCTTGAATAGTGGGTTTATTCTAATATAAATTATCACCGAACTTATCTTCTAAAAAAACAAAAACTGAATATTGTAGCACAAAAGGGATAAATACCACTTTTAAAGTGGTATTTATCCCTTTTTTAAATTTTTTTATCTTGATTTAATGGATTTTAATAATATGATTCTAATAAAATGAATGGTGGTGTTTATTATGAAAGCTGAATATGCCTCGTGGAGACTTTTTCTGTCCGAGGTAATAATTAGTATCATACTTTTTATTATAATGTTATTATTTATAACTAGTAAATCATGAGGAAGCTGTTAAAGAACTGATGCGGTTTTTTATCTACCCTGTATTTTTATTTTTATTTATAAAATTATATTTAAAAAATGTTTCATATAATATAAGTTTATTTTTTAAATGGTAACTTTATAACATGCAAAACACTATTAATTTATTGCATATAAATAATTCAATTATGTTACACTCAACCATTCAGTATGCTCACATAACTTAAAGCAGTCCTTACTCAGAACCATCTCATTGTCCTTGTTTTCGGTTTCATGTACTGGGCTATCCAAAACATTCATAATTAATACAGTTAAAAACATTTTTTTTAAAAATTGGTAATTTTTTAAAATAATTTTATCATCAATATTTTATTGATTATTATTAATAAAAATAAATCAGTATGAACATATTTTTTGAAAATATTTATTAATAAAAAACAAGTTTTAATTGTTGTATCATGTAAATATTATCTAATGTTGTTATATGTACAGAACTTATTATCTTTTCAATTCAAGATTTTACAAATTCAAATGTTTATTTATATTCAAAATTAAATAATGTTGTTTAAATTGATTTAATATTTATCAGACAAATAAACTTTAAACGCTTATATACAAATTTACTATTCGACTATATTTTAAATGTTGTACGGGTTTGTAATTATGTGTTTTTATTTAGAATAACAATAATAATTGATTTTTGAATTTTTGTAATTAAATCAATTTAAACTTTATAATACAAACAAAAATTAAAAATTTGTTTGCATATAATTCGAATTGTATAATTAAACTTTACAAACAAGTTTTAATGCTATAATACGCCCAATTTACAATATGTTTTTATATCAAATGCCATTTTTAATACAAAGTCTTTTCTAATTATAAAATGAAGGTGGGGTTATATTTAATGTTAATAACTTGACTGATGAAAAATAGAGTTTTCATTATTACATGTTATTGTATTTTAAGGCTTTACGTCGCCATTTAAACTTGTAATGATGATCACTAATCCATCAAATGATATTCATCGTTCTAATCACATTTGTGGCCCAAGCCGAATATTTCATGATAACCAACAATGAATACATGAACGTTTATCTTCTTGATAAGTGTTATTATTCTGGCGGCAACACTTACACCAAATATGTCAAAGAAGGAAACAAAGCAAAGGTGTATGGCTCTGTGACTTGTGGTAATTGGGTTGATCAAGATCCAATTGAACTTGATAGCGATCAATCATTTGTTGAAAATCTTCCAGAATATGCAGCTGTGTCTTATGCATATATTGATGCCAAAGATTGCAAAATCAAAGAAAGTGATGCAAGACCAATAGAAACACTTATTAAAATTGGGTGTGTTAAGACTTCAGAAACAACTTCAACCAAAACGGAAATTAAAGATGGCAAGTTCATCAAAAACGACTTTGACACCTCTGCCATCTGTGGTGGACTGCCTTCAAAAATAACAAACAAAGAATTGGGAAAATGCTTTACTGATGAAGAAGGATTCTTTAATATCATAAAAGACTCTGCGATGACTCTCTCAATGTGCTTTGCACTGGTTATTGCTTTTTTCTTCTAAATCAATTTTGGTTTAATTGTTATATGATATTGAATGTGTCAATCAGAAATTATACTTTCTGTACTTAAATTGTTTATAATTCATAACAATAAATTATATATATATATATATATATATATAAGTATATATTAACTTATCCCATCTCATTAATTTGGGGTATTGTCTTTAACTACATACATTTATTTATAATAAGTTTTAAATGAAATGTAGTTAAATAATAAATTAAATGTTCATGTTATATAATGTGTGTTGTTAACTATTTTATTGCTGCTATTTGAACGACATCATATGTCATCCAACCATTTATTATTAGTCAATAGAAATTATTAACAATTAAATTTTAAATTCAAAGGTTTTATATTGTAAACTATTTGATTGTTTACAATAATCACTAATAATTTTATAAATCAAGAATGTTATTTAATCATCAACCTTTAAGTTAAAAACTATTTTTATACATATATTAATAACTATTGTTATTGTTGTTTATTATTCAGTTGATTCTGCTTGTAAATTTCAAATTAAATATTTATTATATTTATTGTCATTACTCTAAAGACTAAAAAAAACTCTTCTGTTTCTAATTACTTGTTGTAAATGTAACAGTAATATATCATAAGTTTGTTATAAGTATTATTTAGATTAAACAAGATTTATAAAAATATTTAATTATTTTATCATTTAATTATTACAAAAAATAAAGTAACAAGATATATGTGTAGTTATTAAAGTATAAACAAACTCATAATAACTGCACACTTTTTCAATTTTTGTTTATTAATAAAATAAAAATAAGTTCAGTTTATCTATTGTTGAATCATTACTATTTATTAATTTATAATGTGAACTTAATTACCATTAATGTTGACTCTTTCTAATACAAACAAATCAATTGCATTGCAGAAGTCAATAGAAGAGTTCATACAACAAATGGGACACATATTTGAAGGTAATTGTATATTTCCCACGACATCACTTGAATTGGTCAAATGGACTTTGTTCACAACAACACCTCAAAAAAGAGACTTTTTCCACCAAACCATTAACTCAATTATAGTGCTTAAAATGCCAATAGACACACTGTTTAAACTGTTCTCAGATGGTTCTTTTGACACACAAAAGAAGTATTTCATTGAAACTGTTGTTCAGAACAGAGACTTGGTCTTTGACCCAGAAGGATCGATTGATCCAAAGTTTTCCAAAGAAACTTTCCACATTGTTTCGGTACCACCAGACATTGCCTTTGAGTCGATTTTCTTCCAAATACTTTCCAAAGATTCACTCGTCCAATTTTTAGTTGTGTTTTCACAGACTTACACGTATGACTACTTTTTATCCAAACTCGAGTCGAAATATAATATGTTCAACGTGTCAACTGATGTTTCAAATTACGAGAAAAAGCGACTCAAAGAAGTAGCCGAACTTTATTTTGAATTCTATGGGACTCTGATGCCACTGGATATCAGACAGAAGTTAGACGATTTCATCAAAAGAGCAACAGAACTGAAAACCAGAGTCGTCCAATTTGTTAATCAAACAACACTTTTTGAAGGACTTCATGTGTCTGCAAAATCAAAACAACAATTACAAAGCACCAAAAGAAGTACACCACGAAGTCGCACACCACGGCATTCTAACAGCTTGGAACGACAAGACGACTCCATAAAAAAGCTACAAGAGTCTGTAGTCGACATCAAGAACAGAGAGAAGTCAAGTCTTTCTAAAAACAGGACACAGAGTTTACTGCAAATAACAAACACAAAAGTCTCATTGGCCGACAAGAAAGCGCTTGTGACAACACCAAAGGGGTTTCTGAGTGTTGATGAAATTGTCAAGAAAGTCACTGCAAAAATTGATATCAATTCACTCTTAAAAGAAACGGTGGACTACAACGAGAAGACGCAGAAACCTTTGAGTATTATAGAAATATCTCCAAGACTGTTAGCAGAGCAGTTGTATGTCACCGATTTGTATTTGATCAAAAAGGTGTCAATAGGCGACTTTTTGAGTGAAAGTGCACTCTCGAAAAAGTACTCCCAAGACTTGAACAGTATCATTTCTGCATTTGGAAAAACAGTTGGCGTTGCTACAAACAAAACTGAGATATTTGAATTTTTCATTAGTGTGGCGTGTGAGTGTTTGGAAATCTCAGAGTACAACTTTGGGTATCTCATTTATTGCGAATTCACTTCATTGAGCATCAAAATGGAATATGCAGAAGCATTCGAACACGTGGGAAAAGCAATAAAAGAAAAGTACAACAAACTCAACAACATCTTTTCTATTTCAAAAAAGAACACTTACTTCGAGCACTTCGACAAAGTCACTACAAACAAATTCCCAATCACCTGTTTGTGTTTTACTATAATAAGTTATCAACAAAGTATAACTTAATTATTATAAATTATATTAATAAAAATATAATAAATATTATATTATTTTAATTAATGTATTATAAGTATATAATTTAATAGATATGACATAAAGCTTATTTGACTGCAGCAGTTGTTGCAAGCAATGTCACAAAAATGAAAGACTTCAGTGGTGAAGATTATAACCACAATTTTGTAAGTCGAATGAATATCCCGGGTAACGTAATGGTTGCGTTATACAACGTTTTGAAAAGTACTATTAAATACACGCCTCATAAATTAATACAAAAGTACTTGGCAATGTGTCTCAATGGATTTGAGTCTGTATAACTCTCGTTACAATTATTAATTTTTAATTGTTTTTAAATTTAACTAAAATTCAGTTGGTGTAAACTTTAAAAATAAAATAAGGTAACCAGATCAACACAATAAGATATTATTATAAAAGTAATTATAAGCTCAAAAAACTATGTCGCTTGATGTTTTTTCCTTTATTTATAAAATCATGAAATTAGTTCTGTAAAGTTTAATGTGATTTTATAATATTTATTTAATGATGTTTTATTAATTATTATTTAATTATTGTATCAGAACTATACATAATTTTGTTTATTAAAATTTATTATAATTGGAATCAAATATTAAAGCATTTAAACTAATTTTGATATCATTTTACAATGTTATTATTTAAATATATAATAATTAAACAGAGTGACATATTTATATTTAGATTTAAAATAAACCTAATCATTAGGTTCATTCCAAATTCTATTTATTTTAAGATAAAGTGGATATTTAATTGAAAATAGCTGTAATTTCAATGTAAATAAAATGCAAATAACGACAAATAACACAAGAATTATAAATATACAACACAAAGTTAAATCAACTCAATTGATAAAAAATAAAAAATGCAAATTGAATTGGTTATTGAAAAAGGCAAATTTTGTGTATAATTATGGGAAATTCTACATAATTATGACGATCAAAAAGGTGTTAACATAAGAAAAATAAATATAATTTAAAGAACAAACTTTCAAAACCACAACAATGTCTCAACACACACAAAAACTTAACAGCACTACCAGTACGAAAAACACAAAAGCAAAAAGAAATTCAACTGATTCCAAAATTCTTTATATCCACTCATGTGTCAATTATTTGGTTTCTCAATGTGGTTACACCTTTGTTTTTCTCAATGAAAAGAGAAAAGCAAAAAAGATGAAGAGCAGATATGATATATCTTTAATTTTAAATGATAAAGGAGATGTGGAATTTGATGCATCTCGAAGTTATACAATAACAGACAAACATCTGGTGTTTGATGCCAATGGTAAGCCACAAGAGTGTTCAAAAGGATGTATGATAAATCGGGATGAACAACTAATAATACTTTTACATTATTTTAACAACAAATTGATGAATATATTTGGTAAAGAACATTTCAAAGTCAACTCCACTAAAAAATCCAAATTTGAATATAAATTATCAAGTGAAAAACTGGACAAATTACCCCATTATGATAAATTAAATCATCATTACATATTGGAAAAAAGAAAAATTGTTGAAAATTTGGATGGATATATCGGTCGTTCTATTGTAGAATTCAGTTTTTACAACTTTCAAAAGACACACAAAAAGAATGACAAACCGATTGCTCTTGTAATTGGTAACGTTAACAATGATGAAATAACAAAGAAATATTCTGTTGTAAATAATATTCCTTTTGTGGATTATTATCAAATTCTTAGAGAACAAATAAACAACAAATCAGACACAACAATTGTTGAAGATGAAGTTGTTAGTGTAGAAGAACAAACAACACCAACAGAAAGCCACAATGAATCAATCAACGAGTCAAATGAAAATGATATGATTGAAAAGGCAAAAGAAATTGAAATTGAAATGACTTGTAATGAAACAGACGTATCTTCAAATCCAATTTTGGTTGTGAAAACCCGCCTATATGCCCAATACCAACTTCATATGTTGAGAGTGGTTGCATTTGGTTGCCAGTGTGTCCTATTATATGTGGTCCAATGTATATCATACCTCAACAACAAACACATTTGAATGAAAGTTGTGAAGGTCAACAAATGGAATTTGAAAATATCAACAATGAAGGATTTGTAAATGATGTTTAAACAGGGATGACATTTTGCCAAACGACATTTTACCAAAAATTATTAAGAACTTTCTTAATTATTCTTTAACAAAGAAAATTTTAAAAATAATTCATTGTTGTATTTTTGTCAAGCTTTTATAAAAATATATTTTTGTCGACAATAAATAAATTGTAAATTGTATGAATAAATATATTTATATATTATTACAACTCTGCTTATTTTGTTTTTATTTTACGCTATTAAATCTTATTAAATAGAAATATTACTTGAACTATACAATGGCAGAACATTTTTTTTGGTCTTGGGTTAATAAAAAAGTGGTAAAAAATTGATCTCTCAAAAATTGAAAAAATTATACAAAAGTTTGAAAAAATTAAAACTTTGTACGAAAAAATCGAAATGTTTTATGGAAAATAAAAAAAATGTAAAAATAGAATTTATTTTTGTGGTAAAAAAATGAAGTTTATAAAAATGGATTCATCATTAAAAATACCTCTGATAAAAGCTAAAAATAAATAAATAATTCTATTATTTTATTATTTCTAATTAATACATTTATTGAGATTTTTCTTATTTTTAATTGTTTTGAGTATTATTATTAATATATTATTATAATTATTAAATTATTTTAAACATTTTTAAATGTTCACATTTAAATATTTAATTAATATTTTTATTGACTTTTATAATTTTATTAATGTTTCGAAAAATAATTTAAACCAAACACACCTTAAGAATAATTCAATTACAAAGACTATTTTTTTATCTATTAAATCCATTTACTTATAAATTTTAGAATTATGGAATTTTATAAATTTTATAATAAAATGTATTAAAATTCATTATATTTTGTTGTTATAAATTAATTAATTAATTATTTTTCAATTTTTGTTTTTATATAAACATTAAAATTGAAATATTTAACTAATAACAAATATCATTTGTTTAAAAAGAATTTAATTTGTATTTTTTTAAGTGATAACAAAGAGTTTCAAAAAGTTTCTGAAATAATGGACCTGTTCGTAATACACCATGACTGGCATTTTGGGCACAATGAAAATAACTTTCAACACAAACTGAACTGGGAGATACAGCAAAAAGAAAACAAACAAGCTCGTAGAGAAGCGGATAGTTTGTTTTTAAAATTGATAAAAAACACAAAAGTGATATTTTGTACTTATAATCAATTTTGTTTGCAATTGAAATTTCAAAGTGTGTTTTCTTTTTAACAGATAGCATTGTTTGATATATAGAATCCAAGTTCATTATTTGGCTTTTAAGATACAATTCAAAGTTTGTAATTTCTTTTTTAATTTCAGTTACAACATCAAAATCTTTGGTTGCATATTTGAATTCAGGAAACACAAACAATTGTGATCTAAAAACCGAATTGGGAAGATAGAAAATCTTAAGAAGATCATCAACAAAATAATCGTGAGGTATTCCATCATGTTTCATTTGTAAATATTCTTCTTCTGTGATAGATGATACTCGTTAAGTTGAGGAAACAATCGAACTTTTAAAACGAACTTTAAGTCGTACATAAACAACACAGAGTATTTTAACAATCTCTTGTTTGTTGATTTGTAATTGCAGTGATTTCAAATTATCAAATTCGGACAAGTCGTTGTTTTCAACCTTTTCCTTTATCCACTTAATATATTTAATGAATATTTTTGACAATTCATGAAATTCCCATATTACACATCTCCTAACTTCGAGAGAAGTTGTAAATAAATTGAATTTTTCCAGAAGATCTTTGGCAAATGCAAGTGCTATTAAAAAGAAACTCGAATTAATATCAAAAATATATTCACATTTATTATCCAGTGTTGATACACCTAAAGTAGATGTGTCCCAATAATAACATTTGTTGGTTTTGAAATATTCAACAAACAATTTTTGATTTATCCATACAAAACTTCCGATATTTTTACGTTGTTCCCATATTCCTTTGACGTTTAAATATAAATATTGCCATCTGATAGGCTGAAACGTTGGAATTTTTTTGTGTATTATAGATTTATTGTTAAGATATCGGTAGTATTGACCCAGAATGTCAGAAGAACAAAATTTCTTTACAAACAGATAAACTTTAAATAGTGGATCGAAATTAAACACTTCAAAAACTACAAGTCCAGACCTATGGGCATAACACCAACAACAACTAAATTCAGTAAGGAAATGATGAGTATTCTTTTTATTGATATGTATTAAGTCTCCCAGTTTTTTAGTGGCGCCATTTTTTAATTGACATAGTGCACCATCAGAACTACCAGTGACAAACAGTTCTAAATGATTTTCATATTTAATTTTTAAATGATCATAAATAAATTTTGCGACATTATTGGCTTCTTCTCCGTTTTCAGTTTCTCCAAAATAGAAAGGAAATTCGAACCAATTATCCTTTTTCACAACTCTGAGAATTATCCCAAAGCACTGTGTGGATCCAAACCTTTTCCCATCATAAATAGCAGATATAAAAACACCCTCATTTATCGACTCGTTTAATACACAAATAAAATCGTATTCAAAATCGTTACTCAAAATACGAGTTCCAGACCTGTAACTAAGAGACATTTTCTTCACGTATTTTATAGCTTTTGGAGCAAATTGACCTGCAAATATCATGAGCACAAAACGTAACATTATAAATTGCCCCGATGAAAAACGCAATTTTAAAGCAATTCTAGTAAATAATTTGCTTATTAATTTTATTTTGATATTTAACACTTCTTCTTTTTTATGATGGTGTTCATCAACCCAACCATTTGAATCATCAAAAAAGTAATTCATTACAAAGTTGAACAATTCTGTATTTAATTTGTCACATGTACATAATATAGAAAACACACACTCTGATATCACTTGAAACTTTAAAGTCTCATGAAAATATTCACAATCTTGAAATATTTCTGGGTAAGTTTCTTCCAACTTTTCATTTGTTATATATTCTAAGTTGTCTGATAAAGGTAAAATATTGGAAATAACATTTTGAATATTTGTGTTTAATTTGTTAATGTTGGGAAGTGCATAATTAATTTCATCAAAAGAATACTCATGATGATCAAGAGACAAAGAATGTTCTTTTAATGGAAGAATGGGTATTGTAGAGTTTTCTGTTAAACTAATTCCTTTAACAATGGAATTTATGGTATTTGTTTGTGATTGTCTTTCATTTAAACGTGATGTATTGTTACAATC